GTGGGTGCTTGTGTGTGTGTGTGTTTTGGTCGGTGTGTGTGTGTGGGTGTGACGCTGTGTGTGTGTCTGTGCGCGCGCGCGCGCGCGCGCACATGTAAGGACTTTGAAAAGGGCTGAGGAAGGGAAGGAGGAAACAAAACTGCTCCAGAGTTGCTTCGAAGCCTCCTTTGTCTCTTTGCTCTTCCCTGTCACACACACACACACACACACACACACACACACACACACACGCCCTCTCGCATCTGCTCTCGGGCAGCATTTCCAATGTCTTGTGTAAGTCAATTGGCCGACGAACAAAAAAAGCCATTTGTTCGGTATTATTTAAAACAGACTTCAGAGGGCCACCCTTTTGTGGAAGCTTTATTTGAACTAAATGAATAATCTTAATTGCATCACTCTCGAATTAAAAATCAATGTTAATCAAGTTGAGAATAGTAAATATCAGTTTTCATTTTGCCTTGGGTAGAGGGCATTTTTCTTGTGCTGCAAATAAAAATACAAGTCAAATAACTTTAAAGGGGCCTCTTGTTCTGCTGCAAATACAATTGAAACGGATTGTTTGGGAGCAGATCAGAAACGGTACAGAATTTTGCACTTAATTTCCTCAGTTATCATTTACAATAAGAACCTCTGGGCTTGACAGCCAAGTCTAAACAGTAGTAAATTAGTACAAATTTATACTGATTTTACTCTAATAATCGTAATAAAAGCTTATAGATTTGGCACTAATTACATAAATGCCTAATGATCTTGAAAATTACTCTGGTTAGAAATATATTACTAATCTAAACTTTGTTGTTGGCTGGCTCTGAAAAATCAGAGCATTAGAAATGGTTCGCTTCACTTGTGCAAAAGCACTTGAAATTGTTCAAGGAGTTTAACACATCCAAGAGGAAAATAAAGAGCGGTTAACTTTATTTACAGCCCTGAGTGGCTGTGGTAGCCTAACTGAACTTAGAAACTTTGATCGAGGCCGGTTGGGAGCCAAGGTGAGACCTGTAGGCCTATTGGGCAGGGGGGGGTGGGTTCTGGGATGCAGCTTCTGGAGTTTTGGAGGAGAGCACACTTCGTGAAGCGCTGCATTACCACCATCAAAAGAGGACAGCGGACCTTAGCATTGTAGGGGGAGCCAACTTTCTCTTTACTCTCTAGGCCCGAGGTGCGATTGGGGCTCAGTAGGCCCCAGAGCCCACTTGAGGAGTGTGGATCCCTAGCGAAGGCCTTAGGGCAGTGGCAAAATTTAGGGTGGCTCTAGAGGCTGGAGCTTGCCCGCCTGGAGCGGTCCAGTGTCGCCTAGCTGGCGCGAGAGGGGGTGGGGAGTAGGTATCAGGTCATGCGGAGGTCATGCCCTGCTCTGGCGTCTTAACTGCCCCTGCTCCGGGGACATCCTGTCTCTAAAACACCGAGCTGGGCTGCGACTGTGAAGCGAGCAAGGCAGGACCAGGAAAGGAAGGTGTGCCTGAAGAAAATCTCAGGGAAGGACTGACCGAG